ATTAGCCAATCATGTTTCATCTATACCTTCTACCCACTTACTGGTGCCCATATTATTCTGAAACAAGTTCTAGATCATATCATTTCACCTGTAAATATCTCAATACTAGTGGCCCGGTGCACGGATTCGTGCACATTGAAAGGAAATTAATTAGAAGAAATATTTTAATATTGCTATTCACCCTTTCTCTATAATAGAAGTGTCAGAGATGAAAGAAAATTAGTAAAATGTACATGAAAATAATATATAAATTCATTAACAAATAAACAATAACAACATGATATAACAAAGACATATGAAAACAACAAAAAGATGATGTAAAAATAACAAAAACATGATATAAAAACAACTGATAAAAAATGACTGATAAATTGATTAAACTTATTCTAATATCTCCCTGTATACCACATTAAGAGTAAAAACACTTTCAGAGTGCTTGACTAATTTCCCTTGTGATGAAGTATTTACAACTTTAGCGTCATACGCTCTTCGAACTCGAGAGAAGGCAACAAATAACTCCATTTCGTCGGAGAAATTTAGGGATAGGCAAAATTGACATGTAACACCACATGTGTTACATTCCACCACAACTGTGTTCGCTAACTGCATCCTCATTTACTTCATTTTCGCTATGAAGGCAGTTCCTATCAGCACTGGTAGTACTTGTCGATGACTGTTCTTCATACATTTTCTGTCGACGACGCCGCCTTCTTTCAGCTGCAGAGGTACGTTGTGCCAATCGTTGTTCTTCAGACATATTCTGCCGGCACCACTTTCTTTCGGCATTGTCGTCAGCAATTAGTCGGACAAGAGTCCTCTTTGCACCGTCTTTGTTCTGTGCCCCGCTGTGCTTAACAACAGAAGCATAGAGAACGATGGGCACTGGAGCTGAGGCTGGCTCCTGGCTCACAGAAACTGTAGTCGTTTTATCCACTGAATTATCGTCTTCAACTTCAGAATCCTCAATGACATCACTGATTTCCTGCCATGGCTCCAGCTCCCCCTCCTCACATTCCATGAACAGGCCTGCGTTCGTCTTGCTCCCGGTGTCCGCCAGGCTCCCGTGGTTGCCGCCGGCAGGCAGTCTGACCCGGAGAAGGCGCCGTTGCCTTAAAGAGACCTTATGTTTAAGTGGTAAACACCACTGAAGCTTGACTCTTAGCAGGGCCCCGTAGGAGCTGCCAAAGAGCAATGAGGTACTGTTGGAGCGAACCTAATAATAACCAAATAGTCCTCTTCGTGTACTTCCTAAACCTCCACACAATACTACTTCCGTTACCACTTCCGGTTCTTCCAAAGTATTGAGCTTCTCTGGGTCCGGGATAGTTCTAATCAAATCATAAACCTCTAGCGCTTTCTCTTCCATGATCCAGGGCTGCCGGTCAGCTCCCCGCTCAAAGAGGCCCGAGAGCCACAGGACCCTGCTCAGCGTCCAGGAGAGCAGCCCCGACACCCGCTTCATCCTCACGCTCCGCCATCCCTGGCGACTGTCCCACCGATTTATCAACTTCCTGGTTTCCAAATGGGCCGAGACCAACCTAAAAGTGTCCAGGGGAGCAGGGAATGGGCCTAAAGTTCTAATTTTAATCTGCTCCTGTTTGATACAATAATGCATACCACATACAGTTCCATTTGTATTGACTAAAGGAAAGAAGTTGGGGTGGGAAGAAAGAAAATATTACTTAGCGAACAAGAGAAGTGAACACTAGCCCTTATGTGAAAATCTTGGGAAGATGCTCATTGCTATTGAAAGCTTCACTTACCTCTAGCTTAGTTGATGTGACCTATCAAAGGAGTAGGTTTGTGTCAAATCAAAATGATTCCTTTTGGTGTTCCTTTCCCTCTTTTCAAATAGTGACTGATTTTATGTTGTTCCATTTGCTTAATATGTGCCTCTTCCAAATGCCCTGTTTTATATCAGAAATGAAGGGAGCTGCTCTGCTAGGGTCTCCCTCTTGGGAGGTAAATGAAATTAGCTCACATATGTCTGATTTAGGTCTTCTTCGGGAATAGTGTTCTGTGGCCCAAGATGATCAGAGGGCACAGTATTACAGATTTGGTATAAACCTGCCCATTCTGGGGAGATAGTAACATAATTCAATCTTTCTAATATATACTGCCTTTTCTGTACCAGACACTAAGTACTGTGGAAGATACAAAGATCTGACATATGGTTCCTGCAGTCCCCAACAACATTTTCAAATATCTAACACACAGTAGGAAATTACAAGTATCCCAAGCACTATGAGTTTAGAAGTTACATCCAGCTACAGTTGGAGCTGGAAGGCGGGAATGGGATCAGTTCAGTGACAATGTCATAAAGGGTTTGTAAAGATAGGACAAGGCAGGGACTCTTGAAAAGGAAAGGATAGAGAAATTGTAGGCCTCTATGCCTTAAGAGCATAGAGCAGATGGAAAAGAAGTTTTACCATTAGCTAAAGTCAAAATATTTGACTACAAGCACAATAATTAATAATCAAATAGGTTACACCTAATATGTCAATATTTTACCTCTAAACCAAGTCAGTCTAACCACAAGAAACTTATGTACAAAGAAAACTTACAAACGGGAGTGGAATTACTAAAATGCCCTGGAAAATAACACATATACACATACCTCATACAGAAAAAAGAAATATTTTTGTTTGTTTCCTAATCATAGTGAGGTGTGGGGAAAATGTTCATTTAAACTCCAGCTTCATCAATGTACAGCTATCACAGAGCTCTTTTAGGCCATCACTGTAATAATGATACAGGATGAATCCCTGGCATTTTGTTTTAAAACCCACAAATGAGACGGTAATGTGCCCAGCTGCAGCTCCCTTCCTGAATTTCAGAAGCTCTGGGTGTCGCACACATGCAGCTCTGTATCACTTCACACAAAAGACTGGCAACTGGCCAAGAAGCCTCTGTGTGGTATATATTCCCCAAGGTTTAAGAACTGCCATTTTATTACAATTAGCCATAAAACGACATGTACTTTTAGGACATTATCCCAATATAAAACAAATTCATTTCAAATTTATTTAACAAAGTTATTCCTCCAAAATGCAATATATAAAGACAGTAAAGTATATAACCTATATTTTTAAAGAGACCTATAATTATAATTCCATTCCATTAAGATAATTCTAAGATAATTCTTAAAATTTCCTCAGATTACTATTTCCTTATAATCTTACCAACAGCGAGAAAGCCCACCACACAGAGATTTAACTGTATTTGTAAACTTTTCCATAAGCAGTTCATGCACATTGCTAACTAAAAATCAAGATGAATGAATGTTTTAACATCTCGTACATGTAGGTTGACATGACCAACAACAATGAATGTGAGATAGATACCTCAAGAATGATCTTATTTTCTGCTGCCTTACAACCCTATAGAAACGCATGGTTCTATCAATTAGGTTGCTACATCATTCTAGTATGTAAGTTTTCTGAGAAAAAGGGGGGAAAAATAAAGAAAACAAACACTTCAACAGCTTGGCTAATACTTAACTTTCATAGAAAGGAGTGTTTTTTTGTTGTTTTTTTAAAAATATATTTTATTGATTTTTTTACAGAGAGGAGGGGAAAGGGATAGAGAGCCAGAAACGTCGATGAGAGAGAAACATCAATCAGCTGCCTCCTGCACACCCCCCACTGGGGACATGCCCGCAACCAAGGTACATGCCCTTGACCGGAATCGAACCTGGGACCCTTGAGTCCACAGGCCGATGCTCTATCCGCTGAGCCAAACCGGTCAGGGCAGAAAGGAGTGTTTTACAAGAGCAAATAATAAACTGAGCACTAGCCTTTGTGTGAAAAGCTTGGGGAGATTTTCATCTTTATTGAAATCTTCATCTACCTCTAGCTTCTCTTTCTCCCGTGGTTGGACATCTTCCACACAAAGGATCACTGATATATTAGTGATCTGAATGACTGAACCTTAAGATGTTATATTCAACAGTCACAAGTTAATAACGTTAAACCTGTCAAAATTTAAGACTTAGGAAGCCAACTGACCTTTTTTTCCTCCTTTTTATGGACACCTTTCTACAATACAACTATCAACTAAAGATGATGTAGAAAGGATTAGCACACAACTTCGGTAGAAAGTGTGAATTCAACATATTTGGAGTTTAAATTTCCACCCTGCCTAGTACCACTTCATATGACAGTCCAGGGCTATACGAGAAAAACAAACACATACAAAAACCTTCCAAAGAAATCCTTTAACTGGCCTTTCCCACTTCAATGTCAAAAACCTTTTGAATTGAGTAAACTGATTAAAACAAGAATTTTTCATCATAATTTTCTAGTCAAGGAAAGAAATTTGTTTCACACCAAAGTTAAAATTGCAAAATACACTGACTTTCTAAGGATATGGATTGTTAAACATCACTATAATCTAAATAACCTAGATCTAAGTAGTTCTAAAAAGAGACACTTAACTTTATTGTCATTTATATGAAAATCTCCCCCTAAAGGATTTGATATTTTAAAAAATAGCTACACATGAAATTTCTGACATTCATCTGCAGAGGAGTAGGAGAATGGAGCTATTCTGGGAGAGGGGACACGGTCACAGTAGTTTTTCATACAAAGAAATTAAATTTTTAGGGATTATGTAACAAAATGTTAACTTGCACCGTAGAAACATGGTTTTGTATCATATTCTTCAATTAAAAACAAAATAAGGAAAAAAGGAATTGTAATGAACAACAAAGAAATAGATACTTTTCATTTTCCTAAAAATTACTGGGATAGCCAAGAACATAAGGTAGGAAAGAAGAGGGGGCTAGAAGTTGAAAGGAACAATGCAAAGTAAAAGCTAAGTGAATAGGATAGCCATTTTCTGATGGCTCCAGGCCCATGAGTGAATGCTAACAGAACTAAAGGAGGTGTTGGCAGTAGCAACTGGCTTAGAGATTGGTGAGGAAGGGGAGCGAGGAAATGAAAAAACACTTGCACACTCATAGAAAGAATTATCATTTCCAGGAAAATATTAATACTTACCAGTATGTACTGTAACTACTACAATCCATACACACTGTGTGCTGAGCTTTATCTTGTTTTTCTGATTTCTTATGGTTGGTTAAGGGTACTTGTGCATCTTCATAATGCTTCTTTGCATGGCCATTCACATACCTTACAAAAACCAAATGAAAAATTATTTTAATCTAAATATTGCTTTGGAAGTTAAAGTAGTAGGAGATGATGATAAAATTAGATGGTAAACAAACCAGAATAAGAAAGAATTCCTCCTTATAAGAGCATTCAATCATTTAGTTATTTATTAAGTTGAATACTTAAAATATGCTCCTTTTTCTGCAAATATGACAACCAACTTTTAATTACAGCAATATACAAGGTAATCAATGGTTGACTATAGTCATAAATATTTTGTAACACTTTCCAACTCAGATTTAGTAAATCACTGTATTACAGAAAGCAGAATGAAACAGTTTGAAATAAGTGTTCATATGCACCCAAATTCATCTCCACTTTCACCTAAATACTGTACAATGCTGTAACTAACCACAACTGTGAAGGCCCTTATAAAACAAAACCTCCCAGTACCTAAAAAAGCAGCCAATTTGTAGAAAGCAAGGCCTAATTGAAAACTCTGAACCGTCAAAACAAATGTTGGTTAAATGGTACCAAAATAAACATGCTCAGAGTTAAGGTGACATTTTTGTCATGAGGCACCTTAATTGTACCAGGAGCAACACTTACCTTGTGGTAAGTAGGAAAGATCAACTTCAAGCCCAGCCTCTCCATCCCATAAAGCTGGAAGTGACAAAAGCACTACTAATCTCAACTCAAAATTTGATCATGTTGTTTTCCCATTTTTTCATTGAAGTAAACATAACCAACATTTGTATGTAGTACATGAGTCCTCTGTCCACAAAAGTGGATTAAAGTGAATTTTTAAATAAAATAATGGTTAAGAGTATAAACTCAAAAACTAGACTGCCTGAGTTCAAAAGTAGGCTTTGTCCACATGCAGTCCATATGAGTTTGGATGAGTCATGTAACCTCTCTGTACTTATGTTTCTCATCTGTAAAATGGAGATAACAGTGCTCAGATCTCATACACCAAGCATGTCAAACTCATGGCCCACAACAAATATTTTTGCGGCCAAGCCAATATAATGGTATGTAAGAAATGTTTTAATAAAAATTTCGTAACTTAATTTTTACAATATCCTGTTATGCATAATTAATAACGAACTACAATGTTCGCTAATGACTGATTACTATAATCGTGTTGCATTCATTTCCCTTACGTGCTTTATGTACAGGCGTACCATTTCTCTCCACTAATACTAGCAGCAAATATTTTAGCAGCTGATTGTCACGTCATTAGTTTTGGGCTAACTTGTTTGGTGTGCGCAACAGGAAATACATCGCTTTCGGAGAACAAGAAAAATAGGTTTATTTGCATTACGCTTGTTAATTTGTACAGTTATTCAGTGTCTGGTAAGTTAATGTTCAAAAAAATATTACTTTTTATTAAAATGTCCTATTATTTTATGTTAACGATTACCCATTTATTTCAGCCCTTTGTATTCAGCATGTCTCTATCAAAATAAACCTATGTTTCTATGAAAATTGAAGCTTTTGTTTTTTTATGGCCCACATAAACTTAAACCTCATTTGGCCCTTGTTAGCCTTTGAGTTTGACATGCTTGTCATACACTGTTAAGTGATTAAATTAAATAATGCATGGCTCAGAATGCATGCATGAATAAGTATTAGTAATTATTTTATTCATGTTTTCCTTTATATGTTTAACTACTATTTATTCAGAATCCAAACAGCATAATTATTTAAAAAGTGGTAATGTTAAGCACATACTTTGAGATGACATATTGCACAGTTTAAGAAACACCCAATATTTAATTAAAAAGGTAAACACCAAGATGTAATATAGGCTTAAAAACTAACCAGCTCAATTTCTAATGTTTATATATATTTATTCTGTGCCATGAAAAGAATAATATTTATGAGTGCCTTTGAAATCAAAGAAAAGGTAATACTGAACAATAATAATAAAGGCATTACTACTTGAAGTCTTTGAAAACTGATTATTTGTACATTGTACATATGGTTCATCTGGCCACCACACTGTGGTCTCCAAATAGACTAGACTAGAGGCCCGGTGCACGAATTTGTGCACCAGTGGGGTCCCTCGGCCTGGCCTGTGGGATCGAGCTGAAACCAGGTCTCCGACATCCCCCGAGGGGCCCCAGATTGCGAGAGGGCACAGGTCAGGGCAAGGGACCCCACCAGTGTACGATCGGGGCTGGGGAGGGACTCAGGAGGTTGGCCAGCCAGGGAGGGACCACAGTAGGGCTCCAGGGCATGTCCAGCCCATCTCGCTCAGTCCTGATTGGCCGGATCCCAGCAGCAAGTTAACCTACTGGTCAGAGCGTCTGCCCCCTGGTGGTCAGTGCACATCATAGCAAGAGGTTGAGTGGCCTTAGCATATCATTGGCATATTACACTTTGATGGGTTGAATGGCTGACCGGTTGACCGGACACTTAGCATATTAGGCTTTTATTATATACTACGTTTAAATGATTACTGTAAATGTCAGTGATAAAGAAAGAAATGTATTACTGCCAATATTAAGATTAGCAATGTTTTGGCTAATACTCAAATATATCAATCAGATGTTAACAGTTTTGTATAAAAAAATGGCTAATATAAAAATAAGTATTTCCCTCAACTAGTTTTAGATTTTAACTAGACAATTTGGTCTAAAAAGGAAAATGTTAATATTTGTCACACATTTCTAACAACAAGCACAAAAATTTTTTAGATAACTTAAATGGGATGGTATTATGAAGGCCAATAAATATATAACTCAAATATGCTGATAAACTTGTTTCCTAGTTGAAAAATATTCAATTTAAGACTTCCCTACAGACAAGTGGTCTAAAATTATTATAATCAGAATCCGTGGCAATCAACACATAATAAAAGGGAATTAACCAATCAGCTATGTAAAATGAAAATCCAAATGCAGGCTACTCTCACCTGTTTAATCTACTTAATCATATTTTTCTGCAACTATATAAAATATTTAAATTTAAGATTGCTTGCAAGTGGAAACAGACTACCTGCATAGTCTAGGAAATTTTCAATTTATTTTCTCAAAACCTGCTTAGAGAATTGTTTATTGTTTGCTATTAAGAACATTAATATCTCCAATTTTTTAGTTTGTCAGGTCTTTTTGTTGGCATATGACCTTCAAGATTTAGGTTGTAGAGCACTATGAGACAACTGGAGAACAGAACTATATAAATTTTATTGCATTATAATTCTCACCTCTCAAAATCTAGGAGAGGAATCTGTCTCTTCAAGTGCAGAATTTAAGTGCTTGTACATTTCTTCTGTTTTAAAAAAGTGTTATCTGTACAAAGTATTTTCAGGCTCCCCAAATCCTAGAGATTTCAAAACCACAACAGCCAAAATTAAGAAAGATATGCAGTTAACATTTTCCAAAGGTACTCTTAAGTGTACATGGAAAAAAAAAATACTAAATTTCAGGGTTCAAAATGTAAAAAATCAAGTTAACTGAACAAAGATGCTCTCTTCATGCAATGAGGGTTTTAAAATAACAATGGGGAAACAGTCCTAATAAATACAATATAGATTTCAGCCTGTGTGACTTAGTATAATTTCCCATCTCCTGCTGCTAAGCTTTTAACTCTGAAGCAAATTCAAAGTGGATTTTTTAAACTACAAGAACAATAGATATAAATGTGCCACTGCCAGACTAAAGGAACACAAAGGTTGATATTTGAGTTTGTGTCAAAAGAAAAGAGTTACTAAAGTATTTTAGTAACATCATTTTAAAACCAAGAACTGGGAGGAAATGCTCAGGCTTCAACCGGGATGGGGTGGGGGTGTGGAATTAGGTCCCTGGAAAACAAAAATATCTTAATGGAACAATGAAACATTTGATACATCTTAGAAATTAACTATGAACTCCACAGTGAGAACATTTTCAAGGGAATTCCTTTAGCTATAAATATTTTAGTGTTGCTTTTTCTTTCTTTTTTTTCTTCAGAAGAATAATGTAATACCTGGGATTTGAATCAAAAGTCAGGAAATTAGGTGGAGATGGGGTAGGTGAAACAAACTGGGCCATGTGCTGATGATTGTTGAAGCTGGGTGATGAAAATATGGGGTTCAATTATACTATCTCTCTCCTTTTGTGTATGTTTAAATTCACCCTAATAAAAGGTTTAAAAAACAACCATGAGGTAAACTTTTATTTAAATACTAGAGGCCCGATGCACGAAATTAGTGCACGGGTAGGGTCCCTAGGCCTGGCCAGCGATCAGGGTGGATCGGGTCCTTTCAGCTGCCAGCTGGGGCCTTCCTTCCCTGGCTGCCAGCTGGGGTCTACTTTCCCCAGCTGTTGGCTGCCAGCCGGGGTCCCCCTTCCCTGATGGCCAGCTGCTGGCTGGGGCCTACCTTTCCCAGCTGCCAACTGCTGGCCAGGGCCTTCCTTCCTTCTGCACTGCCCCCTGATGGTCAGTGTATGCCATAGCAAGCGATCGGTCTCCCGGTTGAACTCCAGTGGGGACAATTTGCATATTAGGCTTTTATACATACATAGAAGATGTGAAAGTTCCCACATATCATCTTTTCAATCAAATATTACTAGGTTTAGGTTATCTTGATCATCAAATGAATTCTGAGTATCAATATAAAGGATTTCCCCCCCCTAGATTTTCCTTAGTTGTACCACTGGGGGGGAAAAAACCCAACAGGTTATATGGGGACAGATAAACTCTACAGAGAATTACACATTATGATTATGCAATGGTGCTAAATAAATCCAAATCAATAAACCGTTAACATAAAGCTTAAAAGCAAACTGAAAAATGCAAGTAGGGAAGCAAAGTAATAAGAATGTCACCTACCTTCCACAATGGACACTTGAACAAGTCAAACAGACCCAGGGGCTTTTGTTGGATCGGCACACTAATAAAAAGAAAAATACACAATATACCACTTGTACATGTTAATTCTCAATTTTTCCCCTAATCCGTAATGTCATATCCTATGATTCAGTTGTGAATTCAACGGCAGCGTAGGCGTACTGAGCTCATAGATCCCTGCCCTGGGAGAGCACTGACACAAAGAGACAGCCTAATTAGTTCTACTGAGAAGAACGTAAATGCACATACTCAGCAGCTGCTCATTTAATTGTTGACTCAAATAGTTTAATTACTAGTTAAATGCATATTTACTTTTTTCCATTATTACTTATTCCTTTTACCAGTCTGACAAAATTGATAGTCTATTTTCTCATAGCATTTTTAAAATTTTAAATTTATCTTTCACTAAAAGCATTTTTAAGTCTAATATTTAATCACATGTCTTTGCCATGTAGATGACATACTATACTATTATAAATGACAACTTTCCAGTTTATTTACCAAAGGTATACCTAAGGATACAATTAAGAACACTAAACCCAATTCTTCCCAAATCAATGTCTGTTACATAAAATATAACTCTAAATATGACAACTGCATTTAATTCTTGCTGAGAGTGTAATCAGAACATTAATTATTTTAGTTTAAGTATTATGGAGTGAGGAAAGCTAACAGGGTTATGAATATTTTAAAAATATTAATTACAATTTTGCTTGCTGTTTATTCAATTTTTTTTCAAAAAGCCCAACCAACATAACTAGCCCAATATTTTCAAAATATTGAAAATCAATAGCCCAATGATTTTCAAAAGGGAAGGAATATAAAAATCACCTGGGAAGATTTTTCAAAACATATATGTTCTACTGGGGCAGAAGGAACATGTATTTTGAGAAAAGCAGCTTCCCAGATAACTGCTTAATAATACAACCCCTTGAGAACCACTAGTTAGCCTCCTAGGAGCATGGGAGGGGCAGCACAGCACAACCACACACTCAGGATTACAGTAAATCCATAGTCTGGCATATAATATGTGTTCAATAAACATTTGTTGATCAACCAAAAGACTTGTATGCATGCATATAAGCATAACCAATGGACACAGACAATAGGGGGGTCAGGGCCTGTGCTGGGAGGTGGGAGCGGGCTAGGAGAGGTCAATGGAAGAAAAAGGAGACATATTAATACTTTCAACAATAAAGAATTAAAAATAATAATAATAAACATTTGTTGAAAGTTTAAATTTCTTAGTTTAAAATACCAAGCTCTTCCAAAACCTGGTCCCTGCCTTACTGCTCTTGCCTTATCATACATTACAACAGGCCTTTCTCACTGTTAAGAAAAATTAACCAGACCTAACTGGTTTGACTCAGTGGATAGAGCATTGGCCAGAGGACTGAAGGGTCCCTGGTTTGATTCTGGTCAAGGGCAAGTACCTTGGTTGCAGGCTCAATCCTGTAACCAATCAATGTGTCTCTCTCACATCGATATTTCTCTCTCTGTCTCTCCCCCTCCTTTCTACTCTCTCTAAGAATCAATGTAAAAAATATCCTTAGGTGAGAATTAACAAAACAAAAAAAAAACAGAAAGAAAGAGAAGAAAAATTACCCAAAATGGAGAATAAGGTGAATCAAGAACTGTAAACCCTTCAAATGTATAATGAAACATTTTTAATAAGTCCTCCTAAAGACATTTTATTATAATGCCACTAGGAGTCCAATGCATGAAATTCATGCAAGGGGCTTGGCCTGTGCAGCCCCGGCTTCATCGGGAAAGTCGTCCGGAAGGTCGTTCAGCCATCCAGTCTAATTAGCATATTACGCTTTTATTATAATAGACTAGAGGCCCGGTGCACAAAAATTTGTGCACTCGGGGGGGGGGGGGTCCCCTCAGCCCAGCCTGTGCCCTCTCGCAGTCTGGGACCCCTCAGGAGATGACCACTTGCTGGCTTAGGCCTGCTCCCCAGGGGATTGGGCCTAAGATGGCAATCAGACATCCCTCTGGCAGCCCGGCAGCCCTCGGGGGAATGTCCACTTGCCAGCGGGGAGCAGGCCTAAACTGCAGTCGGACATCCTTAGTGCTGCTGAGGAGGCAGGAAAGGCTCCCACCACCACCGCTGTACTGGCAGCCATCAGCCTGGCTTGTGGCTGAGCAGAGCTCCTCCCATGTGAAAGCGCCCTGACCACCAGAGGGCAGCTCCTGCATTGAGCGTCTGCCCCTTGGTGGTCAGTGTGTGTCATAGTGACCAGTCATTCCCAATCTTTCTGCTGTTAGGGTCAGTTTGCATATTACCCTTTTACTATATAGGATAGAGGCCTGGTGCATGGGTGGGGGCCGGCTGGTTTGCCCTGAAGGATGTCCCGGATAAGGGTGGGGGTCCCTCTTGGGTGCCTGGCCAGCCTGGATGAGGGGATGATGGTTGTTTGCAGCTGGTCACACCCCCTTCAGAGTGGGGGTCCCCACTGGGGTGCCTGGCCAGTCTGGGTGAGGGGCTGAGGGCCGTTTTCAGGCTGGCATGCGACTGAAGCTCCCAACCTCTCCTTTTTTTCTTTTGTATTCTGGGATTTATTTACCTTCTATGGCTGTCACTGGAGCTGAGGGCTGGCTTTGGCTCTGAGGCCGGCTCCAGCTTCAGGCCTCGGCTGCTGAAAGCAGGTATCTGGGATTTATTTACCTTCTATAATTGAAACACTGTTGCAGCTCCAGCTCCGAGGCCAGCTGGCTGAAAGCAGGTATCTGGGGTTTGTTTAGCTTCTATAATTGCAACATTGTTTCTTAGAGTGCAGCTCAGAGCCCGGCAGCGGCAGGCGGGAAATCTTGGCTTCCTCCATCGCCAGGGCAACCAAGCCTCCTGTTCGCTTCAGCTGCCTGGCTGCCGGCCGCCATCTTGGTTGGCAGTTCATTTGCATATCACCCTAATTAGCCAATGGGAAGCGTGTCGGAGGTACGGTTAATTACCCTATTTGTCTTTTATTAGATTAGATTGCTTGACCTGTTGTTTACTATAGATTAGGAACCAAATTCTACTAAGTTAAGGTAAATTTGTAGATTTTTTAAAAAATATATTTTATTGATTTTTTACAGAGAGGAAGGGAGAGGGATACAGAGTTAGAAACATCAATGAGAGAGAAACATCGATCAGCTGCCTCCTGCACACCCCCTATTGGGAATGTGCCTGCAACCAAGGTACAGGCCCTTGACTGGAATCGAACCTGGGACCCTTCAGTCCGCAGGCCGACGCTCTATCCACTGAGCCAAACCAGTTAGGGCTGTAGATTTTTATTCAGTAGAGATAATTTGTCCAACAGGATTCAAAGGTTTTACTTCCCTGTAGGACATGAACCAATTTTGTACCTAGTTAACAATTTATTTAAATGTTCTTTCTTTAGTGTCAACATACACTCAATTCCTCAAATGCTTTTGGAATCAGCTTTACCATCCTGCTGTTTCCCTAATACTGAGTTAAATAAATCTATGACATATGGTCATTCTATATTTGTCTGGGAGGAATGGAGTGGACAAGGAAGAATAAAAGAGCACAGTGATATTCTGACCAACAGGGCTCTATTTTTAATAGTTTTATATTGATATTTAGAGAAAGAGGAAAACAAGAGGGAGAGAGAAACATCTACATGAGAGCACAACATCAATGGCTGTCTCCTGCATGCACCCCAACAGGGATCAAGTCACAACCCTGGCATGTGCTCTTGATTGGGAATCAAACCAGCAACCTCCTGGTGCACTGGATGACCCTCAACCAACTGAGTCACACATGGCCCAGAGCTCTAACTATTCTTGAAAATGAACGCTTTGAATGTAAAACCCCTTTCCAGTTAGCCAAAGGCCCTACCTTTCTTTAGGGTAACTGACACATTTACATTCATTGCCAGGGCCATCCTAAAGGTATCTGAGTTTTTTACTCAGTTGGGTCCAATTTTGTTATGTTTTTGTAAGCTACATGACAGAAAGGCTAAGAAGGATACCTGCCAAACTGCTAACAATTATTTCAGGCAGGTACATGAGAAAACTGTTTGTGGAGGGAAACTGTTGGCTTTTCATTTGTACACTCCTGTGGTACTGGATTTATATCAACAAGAAGATGATGTATTTATAGTTTGAAAAGAAAGTCCTAAAAAGTATATTTTTAAAAAGGAAAATAACCCTATCTGGTTTGGCTCAGAGGATAAAGCATCAGCCTGTGGACTGAAGAGTTTCAGGTTCAATTCCAATCAAGCGCACATGCCTGGGTTGCAGGCTCAATCCCCAGTAGAGGGTGTGCAGGAGGCAGCCAATCAATGATTCTCTCTCATCACTGATGTCTGAATCTCTCTTCCTTCCTTTCTGAAATCAATAAAAATATATTTAAAATAATAAAGTAAAAGAAAAATAAATTAGAAAATAGCTTACATATTCATGGTTTGGGATATAATTTGCAGAATTGAAAAACTACAAATATTAGAGTTTTGTTCCTACAGCAAATCTCTTTTTTTTTTTTCTCTTAGTAAATAGTAAGAAACCCTGTAACTCAATCTGGGAAAAAATAACTGTTGAAGTTTAATATCATTCTCAGATAATTGTTATAATACTAACTATGGGCCCAATTTTTTAAAAATATATTTTATTGATTTTTTACAAAGAGGAAGGGAGAGGGATAGAGTTAGAAACATCGATGAGAGAGAAACATCGATCAGCTGCCTCCTGCACACCCCCCACTGGGGATGTGCCCGCAACCAAGGCACATCCCTTGACTGGAATCAAACCTGGGACCCTTCAGTCCACAGGCTGACGCTCTATCCACTGAACCAAACCAGTTAGGGCTGGGCCCAATTTTTTAACTACCTAGAGTTCTTTTTAATTATGAAATATTTTTTTATTATTTTAAATGAAGGGAAAGAAATCTACAGCTAAATCACTATTACTTTGATGCGTTTCCTACAGAGTGTTCCTTTTCCCCCTTTATAGTTGTAAATATACACACAATACATAAAATTTTATAATCTAACTATTGGCCCAGTGCACGGATTCCTGTACATTGAAAGGAAATTA